ATATACACAGATCATTAAACCGCCTCTTTAAGATAAGCCAATACGATGTACATCATTTATTCAAACATTTTTAGATATGGTTAGCTAATATTTATTGAAATACAATGTTAAATTTGTGCAGTGCTATATCTATAATCAAGTATCATATCAGTATCTGAAATAAGTGAACATTAATAAGAATGAAGTATTAAAATAACAGAATTTGTCTAAAAGTACAGAGTTTACCATTTAAAAGTGTCTCAAAAGTAGTAAGTAGTATGATACAAAACACAAAATCAGAAACAGATGGGTTCCGTGTAATAGAATCTTTAAACAAACCGTGACACTCTTAGTGACCTTCACCCTGGTTGCTAGGCCACTGCTCACGACAGTTGTGCAAAAGCTGTTAAGGTGCGAACGTATTCTCAAACAGAACGTGAGTTCATTCCTCATCATAACTTCGCATCTTAATGGTGAACTGCCGTTCAAGAAACATTTAACGATGCGTATCCTGACGAGGAAGTACCGAATAAGACAACGATAAGAAGATTGGTAACAATTTGGGGACACAGGAGCTGTCTGTCAGTGACAGCTCCTCATGGAGGGACGAATTCAGCTGAAATTACGGCCGTACCGATTTCAAACAATGTTATCAGCTGCAAGAAAGGGACACGGTTGCAAGAATTTAAATTTGGCATTGATTTCGTCGATTTATGCGCTAAGATCCCCATGTGTAGTGGTTAGGGTTGGGTTTTATATAAAACAGTCTATACTTGTACTACTTCGGAATCCACCTTTCTCGTTTTGTTTCAGTAGGTCTATGGAAAATTGTGCGTACTGTAGTGGCAAGGAATATTATCTGTAAGAATTCTGTCTAGTCTAAAGCTGCTAAGTTGCTGATACGTTGTGATATAGAACAGATTACCACCAAGATTAGTTATATATATGTATAATTACGCCAATAATTTGCGTCTGATATTTAAGGTGGAATGTTTGGCTGGTTGCGTCCATTGTTCTTACTTGGTTGTTAGTAAGACGGTGTTGAATTTAAGAGGATTAAATGTACGAAAATAAATTACTTTAAACACTAAAAATATGTCACATTAGTCATTTTGTATCAAATTTTACAACCAAGCCGGAGCTTCGTCACGGAGCATTGTGTTGGTATTTAATAATATTTAATAATCGTAGCTGCCACATATTTTAATCCTGTGCTTTCTGCTCTGAACTTCGTAATTAGACAATATAAGTGAAAATGAAAATTCAAGCTAACAATATGCAGTTTTTAACATAAATAATAGCAGTTTAATTTGAAGCTTTCACGGCGACTAAGTATAACGAATTCTTCTCGGGCTACCAGTCGTGTAAGGTGGCTTAATGAAGAAAATACAAACGTTTTGAGAACCATCTTCGTCCTCAGGGTACTGTAGTTCAACTTCTCGAAACGTTGGTGTTTTCTTCATTAAATCTCCTTACACGGCTGAATTCATTATAGATAATAGAAAGTGCTATGGAAGTACTTCAGAAAATAATTTCTGACACGGAAATTGTAAGTCTCGGAATTAACATACCAATAGTTTAGTTTCATGAATTAAATTATTCTTATCACTGAAGGGCTTAAATCTCGGAAGTAAAATGTTGTATTTTTTGGGATGTAATCCTTTGTAATATATTCGTATAAAATACAGGACGAACGTGAAAGATTAACCTTTGATAAATGTTAGAGTAACAGGATAAGTAAAACCACATGAATCACCGATGACACATCATCAGTCCATAGGGTCTGATACGTATACAATCAAAAATGTCATTTCGCGTGCAAAAAGTTCACCGCACTGATTTTATAAAACAAAAAAGCCACAAATCGTTTATTGTGGCTGATAATTTCTGTGGCCACGTTGTTCTTGGTCTCTGGGGGTTGTGGTTCTGAAAATTACCATGTCTACGTGTTCAGTTTTTAACCTTATTATCGACACTAGGAAATTATGTTTTTGCGTAACTGCACGACATTTAATTTTATTATACTACACTAAAACTTTCGTAGTATCTTACTGATCTATTTGAGTCGTAATTAACACAGCCACATTGACTTCCGTCTTATTTAATAGCTAATTAGATATTTAAAATTTGTTGGAGGACAAAGTTGACCCTGTGCCTATTAAGGCACCACGTTCATAACACGTAAGGGCTAATCGTTTATAAAAGGGTAGAGTAGCTGGCTTGAAGCTCTGGCCGCTTCCCCCCCCCCCCCCCCCGATCACCCTCTCCTATCAGAAAGGGGCTGGGTTGGCCACAGTTCCGGGCCTGACTTGGTGACAAGGAGAATCTCTGTCGTTGGTTGAAAGACATTATCATTACGTAGGGCCCAACAATTCACGATTTCATAATTGAAGGTCATTTTATGGTACCACACAATATTGATTCAATAAATAAGTAACAGCTGAGACGTATTGTAAAGTATATTTGTGAGATTTTTCGAGCCGGTAGGTTATTTTCGGATACTGTCAGTCCTTCTGTACATAATTGCAAATACATCGATTCTCAGTCTTCAAAATGAATAGCACAAGATTATTTAAATGCCTTGGAAGATGAATACAACAATTAGTGACCGGCTGACACAAGCAAATGAGTCTGTGATTTTGTACGTCATTTACCGTTTGTAAGTTTTCGCCATTCAAACTTCTAGCAACTCAGAAATTTTAGAGAAACAAACAAAAAATCAGTCTTCTGTTTTCCTATACGTAGCATTCCCCCTGCCCTCACCTCACCCCTTCCTTCTCCAACCTG